TGTGTATTTTTGTCTGCTTTGCCAAAGATTAGATGACAATATGAGGATGGTTTTATATCTGGGTTCTTAGTCCTGTTGCAAAGGTCTATATCTCTGTTCTTGTTCCAGTACCTTGCTGTTTTGATTACTATAGCCTTGTAGTAAAGCTTAAAGTCTGGTAGACTGATGCCTTCCAATTTGTTCTTTTTGCTTAAAATTGCTTTGGCTATATGAGGTCTTCTCTGATTTCATATGAATCATAGAAGGGAAATACAAAACATTATCTTTGAATGCTATAAAAATATGTATGCCCAAAAACTACAGAGGAAATGGACAAATTCTTAGAAACACACAACCTAACTAGGCTCATTCAGGAAGAAATATAATTCCTGAACAGACCAATACCATGCACAGAAATTCAAGCAGAAATTAAAAAATCTTGCAACAAAGAAAAATCTCAGACCAGATGAGTTCACACCTGAATTTTATCAAACTTACAAAGAAGAACTCATATCTATACTGCAGAAATTATTCCACAACTTTGAGAAGGGTGGTATCCTCCCCAACCCATTCTACAAAGCCAATATCACCTTGATACCAAAGCCAGGAAAGGACACAACAAAAAAAACCTACAGACCAATATCCTTCATGAATATAGATACCAAAATCCTCAACAAAATCTTAGCAAACCGAATCCAACAGCACATCAAAAAAATAATTTATCATGACCAAAGGGGCTTTATTGCAGAGATGAGGGATGGTTTAATGTATGCAAATCTATAAATGCAATTCACTGCATAAATAAAAGCAAGAACAAAGACCATATGATTGTCTCGATAGACAGAGAAAAAGCATTTGACAAAATCTAGCACACTTTTATGATCAAAACTCTCAACAAAATAGGCATAGATGGGACATACCTTGAAATTATTAAAGCCATATATGATAAACCCACAGCCAATATCATACTGAAGAGGGGGAAATTGAAAGCATTCCCGCTTAAAACTGGAACCAGACAAGGTTGCCCACTATCTCCACTTGTATTGAATATAGTGCTGGAAGTCGTTACCAGAGCAGTCAGATAAGAGACGGGAATTAAGGGTGTCCAAATGAGGGCAGAAGAGGTCAAACTCTCACTTGTTGCTGACAATATGATATTATATCTAGAAAATCTCAAGGATTCAACCAAGAGACTCCTGGATTTGATAAGTGAATTCAGTAAAGTCTCAGGATATGAAATCAATGCATACAAATCAGTGGCATTCATATACACCAATAACAGTCAAGCTGAAAATCAAATCAAAGACACAACACCTTTCACAATAGCATCAAAGGAAATTAAATATTTAGGAATATATTTAACGTAGGAGGTGAGAGACCTATATAGGGAGAACTAACAAAACACTGAGAAAAGAAACTGAAGAAGATGCAAACAGATGGAAAACTGTACCATGCTCATGGATTGGCAGAATCAATATTGTTAAAATGTCCATACTACCTAAAGTGATCTACAGAATTAATGCAATCCCCATCAAAATACCATCATCATTCTTTACAGATGTAGAAAATGTTTTAAATTTTGATGAAGTTCAATTTATTTATTTTTTGTTACCTATACTTTTGTTGTCATATATATGAAATCTTTCCCTAAAGTTACAGTTTTATTTCTGTGATTTCCTTTAAATGTTTTAGTTTTATATCTTATATTTATGTTTGTGATTTATTTTGAGTTGATTTTGTATAGTGTATGGCCAGGGGTCCAACTTTATTCTTTTGCATTTAGATGTCCAGTTGTTCCAGTACCACTTGTTGAAAGACTTTACATTTCTTCGTTGATTTATTTTTGCACCTTGTGGAAATTAAATTTACCACAGGATAAGGATTTGTTTCTAGAGTCTCAATTCTATTTCATTGCTCTATATTTCCATTCTTATGCCAGTTTGATTACTGTGGTTTTGTAGTAAGTTTTGAATTTGGTAAGTAAGAGTCCTATTCTGTTCTTCTGTTTTTTTAAGAATGTTTTGGCTATTCTGGGTTCCTCACATTTTCATATGAACTTTGGGATCAGCTTGTCAAAATCTCAAAAAAAATTCAGCTGACATTTTTACAGGAATTGCATTGAATCTTTAGGTCATTTAGGGAGTAGTACTGTCTTAACACAGTTAAGTCTTCTAATCCATGAACATGGGATGTCTTTCCATTTATAGTTGGCCCTCCTTATCTGTTAGTTTTCCATTTATTGATTCAACCAATTGTGGATAGAAAACATTCTTAAAAAACCTATGCTGAACATGTACAGACCGTTTTTCTTGTCATTATTCCCTAACCAATACAACAACTATTTACATAGCATTTACATTGTATTAGGTATCAAAAGTAGTCTAGAGATGATTTAAAATATACCGGGAGGATGTGCATACGTTATATGCAAATGCACCATTTTATATCAAGGACTTGAGTATCCACAGATTTTGATATTCGTGGGAGGTCCTGGAACCAATCATCCATGGATACTGAGGGACAATTTGAATTTAAGTCTTCTTTAATTTCTTCATGATATTTTTTAGTTTCGAATGCATCAGTCTTGATCTTCTTTTGTTAAATTTACCCATGAGTATCTTATTGTTTTTGATGCTCTTAAATGAAATCGTCCTTTTTCATTTTGGGTTTATGTATTGTAGCTTTTCCTATTTTTGAACTTCATATAAATGAAATAATTTTTATTATGTTCTCTTTGGTAGGTAATTTCTTTTGCTTAATACTATGTCTGTGAGATGCATTGATATTACTCCATATAGCTACAATTGGTTCATTCTCATTGCTATGTAGTTTTCCATTATATGAATATTTCATAATTTATGTTAAATATAGTCCATATGATGTATAATTGTCTTGTTTCTAGTTTGGGGCCATTTTGAATAGTGTTATTGACATTCTCTACGTAACTTTTGATGAACATATTATACATTTGTTCTGGGTGTATTTATAGGTGTGGAACTGCCAGGTCTTTAGGTATACCTGACTGTTCAGCTATTTAAGGTACTGTCAAATAACTTCACAAAGTGGTTGTAACAATTTTCACCACCAATAGTGTTTCAGTTACTTTTTATACTAAAAAAACACTCTGTGTGGTCTTTTTCGTTTTAGGCCTCTCCAAAATATATAGTAATGTCTCACTATGTTTTTAATTTTCATTTTCTGATTACTAATGATGCTGAACATCTTTATTTAAAATTGGTTATTTGGATATTATTTTTTGTATAGTGTTTATATGTCTTTTGCCCATTTTCCATTGAGTTACCTGCCTTTTTAAAATATTTATTTGTAGGAGGAATCCTTTATTCTGGATATAAGTAATAAAGATAGATTGATACTGACACAAGTATAGGAAGTTGACTAATTGGACCAAACAGACTTCAGAAACAGACTACACATAGATCAGAGCTTAATTTTTGGAAAAAAGTTATTGTGAATTACAGTGAGGAAATGATGGTCTTTTCAATAAATTGTACTGATTTAATTGATAACCTATATGATGGATTGCACATCTAGACGTGAAATGTAAACTAAATAAAAGCTTTCCGAAAAAATATTGGAAATATAACTTTGAGGAATTTCTTAAGTTTCTTAAACAGAAACTTAGAAAGAACTAACCTTAAATTAGAGAAAAAATAAATTGGACCTCATTAAAAATAAGAAATTCTCTATGTGAAAAGATACTAGTAAAAATGTAAAAAGAGAAGTCAGAGCAAGAGAGGATGTTTTTAATTTAGATATCCAACAAAGGACTGTTTAGAACCCAGAATTCAATTTATTTTAGGTTCGTTCTGTTAATTTTCAAGATTTTCATTATAAAAGAATGTAACTATGTGGCAAAAGGATCTTTGCCTTTACATGACTGAGTTAAAAAAAAAAAAGATCAAAAAAGATCAAAGTAAAAATAATGGTTTATATACCAATATATTTAAAATCAGGTAATTCTTACATATTGGAAATTATTAATCTAAGTTCTATAATATTCAATTCAAATTTATTTACAGTTTTAGGATAGAAGGAGTACATTATTTAGGTTTTCTTTGTGTAAAATTAACTAAAACACTAAATCCAGTTACTTTATTACCTAAATACCACTAAATGCTACAAGAAATCTAATGTGCCTAAAGATTCATATAGATACATTTTTTTAAATCTGAGGTTTAATCCTATATCTTATGTTCCTAAAATTTATTAGGGTCTTGTAAGATTAAGTTTTAAGTAAATAATTATATTTAGAATTGTAGCAAAATTAAAAAAGTACTCTTAGAAAATTCAGTTCAGTAATGCCATTATATTTACTAGAAAGTAGGAACATTTATGAAGGTTAAATTGCCTATTTCATATATACTAAATTTACTGTTCTTCCAAGAACCTAGTATAATTTATTTTTCATTGAATTTTAAGAATCAAACTTGTTTATTTTTAAATAAATATACTTACACACATAAACATTATATGTAATTATGTAAAGATCAGATTATAACATTTGATTAAAAAATATTGCAACTTTTATTATTATATTATACCTGGGCTCCATATTCCCATACTAGTAAATGCTAACTTATTTAGAACTAGCTATTTATCATATACTCATATACTGTTTATTATGATTTAAAACTTTATTGATTTTCTCTTTTGGATTTAAATTGGCTTTCACATACTTGAAATTATTTGAGAGAACTAATTTTTATTCCTCCAAAGTCTAGTTTTTCTACTTTTATGTAATATTCATTTCTTCTATTTACCCGTTTTGAAAAATTGATAAAAAGACTTCTGTGACAGCTGTATCATAAAACGTTTTTATTTTGTTACTGTTGAATTCAACTGTCGATTTTAATGAATCCTACCCAGTTAAAGTGCTGTGCATATTTTTCATGAGTCCATAATCAATATAATCAATTATAGTTTTATTTTTACATAATTGCATAGATATAATTTTTTCTCAGGATGCTGGAGAATTAATGCATTTTTTTAATATGTTGCAGAATTGCGAGAAGCTCGAGAATAATTTTGATGACATCAAGCACACGACTCTTGGTGAGCGAGGAGCTCTCCGAGAAGCAATGAGGTAAGTCTGGATCACCATAGCAACAGTCACAGATGTGGTAAAGAAAAAGTCATTCTTCATTATTGGGGGAACAAATGAGTTCATTGCCACTATTCAGCCCTGTTCTCTAAGGTATTAATTTGTCAGTGGAGAGACTTCCCTTGAGGCTGCACTTTGGTTTTGAAGCTGCATAAATGTTAAGCCTCAGTGCACAGTAAAAAATGTAAATGTTTAATTTGTTACTTAAAATGCTTAAGGGATGTCTTGTTTTATATTTATACTAAACTGTGTGATTGAATGAAAATATTGTTCATCTAAATTCTGCTTGTATATAAAAAATAAACTCTATACAATGGTGGTTGAACTGGGCAGTATTTCCTCCTAATTAATATTTAATTTAAAAAGAGATACTTAAAATTTCATCTTCTATAAGATTTTATAAGATTATATTATATTATAGTATTTTTAAAGTGATTTACATTTTTACACTATTACAAAGCGTATAATTAACTTCTTTTCAAATATAGTGGTCTGTAATGAGCCTGATTTTTTTTTTTCTATTTCACTTCTTAACATTACTATTTCTGAATATTTCTCTGAAATTGCTCCAAATTTGATGCCTTTTAAATAACTTTTAGTGAAGCATTCTTTAAATCCATTTGATCAGAAGCAAGAAAGGCTGTTTACCACACATTAAAAATGTGTTAGAAATAAAATTCATCCTTAGAGTGATAAAACAACAAATGACACTAATTTTAAAAGTTCTGAGTTTCAACCTTTGAGTAGGATAATTTCCAATGTCTTTGTAAAGAAATGGGATATTTAGCTTTATTTAGCCTCTGAAATTAAAATTTATTTTAAAATTATGTTTCCTTTTATCTTAATGCTTACCTTTTTTATGATCTGTGAGGCTTAAAAAATCAGAATAAGAGAAAAGATAAACCTAAGAGACTTCCTAGAAGGGTGGTTTGTATACAATTTTGTTATTGCTAGCACACAGTTACCATATACTTTAGTTTAGAAGCTGCTCTCATTTAGTAACCTTCCTTTTACCGTGCAAGCAGCGGGAGAAAGTAATTAAATTTAATAGAAGCTGCCCTCATTTTGAAGCCACTTCTATTTAAAACCACAGGGGGAGGTAATTAAATTTAATGGAAACAGTAGCTTCTACACAAAGATACATGGTACTTCTGTATAGATGATTATGATGTCACAAAAAGAGGAATAATATATTACTAGTACTGAGAAATTACCAGCTGGAGCAAGTGAGCCTATTTTATTGTTAATGTCTTTACTAATAAAAAAAGAGGGAAAAAATAAAACTGAGTACACAATAAAGAATTTATATCTATATAAAATGCAACCAGACAATGCTCAGAAAGTTTCAGTTATTTAAAATAGTAGTAAATTAAAAATAATGTGTAAAATATAATTTGGAAAAGGCTAATGCAGAAATTATGAACTGTTTTTCAATATGCATAGTCTTTATCCTCAATCTAAAACTACCACAGCTGTAAATTGAACACATCATTTTTATAAATGCTTATTTTAGTAATTTTACATATATTAAATGTGCATGCCAATATTTATTTAGAAAATACAGTTATTATCTGTATTTTTATATTTATTCATTTTGAAGTAAATATGTAGACAAACAGGAAGACAAAGAGGATGCCAGCTCTCATGCTTTGAATAAAAGAACTGAAGGCCAAAAACATGCACAGAAAGAATGGAAAAGGGGCAATGTGAATGAAAATGGATGTGAGTGAGGGAAATACAGTGAACAAGAAAAGGACATGTCGTCAGTATAGAGAATTTGTCATCAAGAAAAAACAAATTGAATTGTAAGGATAACTGTGTATGAAAAGATTATTAAATTCTGCCAAATTTTGTAATATGTACCATTTTAGAATATACCAGGATATCCTGCTTTTTAAAAAACTAGAGATGAACTGATGAGAAAAGCAGGTATTACCTGGTTTGAGTAACCTCTCAACCACCTATGCTATGGGATAAAGCAGTAGTCAGATAATTTAAATCAGAATTTAATTATATGGCTGTGAAATGCAAGTGCATTTACATAGGTTTCGTATTTTATACATGCATACACATATTATTTGTAATGTCTGGATTCACTGAACACAATGAAATATTTTAGTAACTAATAGCATTCAACAATTTTGTATAATGTGGGTTAGTCACTTTTTTTGTCTTTGGAAAATGCAGCAAGAGCTCATTCTTTTACATGTGAGATTATGGAAATAAGTAAACAAAAAGTTTAATATAATGTGAGTAATACATAAGAGGGAGATGCATGAAGGGTCAAATTTTAATTGTTCTCTCATCTGTGATTTATTTTTCCTTGTATGATGGTATCTGGATCAAAGAAAACCATGGAGATGATAAGAAATTTAATTTAGGCTTTAAAAGATGGACAGTTTTTCAAGTAGAGGGACTCATACAGAGCAAAGGCATGGGGGCCTGTGGATATAAGATGTATTTCAGAAACAGTAAGTGGTCTGATGTGAGGGAAAGCAAGTTTTTTGAAGAGTTTTTGAATGTATGCTTTCTCACAAATCTCACATAGGCAAAATTTTCCCATCAATAATATGTCTTCCTATATACCATGAATTCGTTGTACAAATGGAGTAGTATGAGGTTGGCAGGGATGGTGGTGCCAATTCAGAATCTCAGAGGGGGGTAGGGACAGTGGAAGACAAGTGTGAATAATTTGTTAAAAGCTTCAGCTAGCACAGGGACCTGGCTCAGGAAGCTGGCTGAAAATGTGTTTAACTATATTCTAGAGACCAGTTACATAGAATCTAGCTTGCTGTGATATAGAATTTAAATTATTTGGCCGAGTCATGATAGTTTTTTAGGATGTGAATGACAATATTAAATGTAAAAATTATGAAAATAATTTTATAGCTCTTAAAGTTGGAGTACAGGGAGAAGAAACATTGTAGAGAGAGACACGCAGCCATTTATTTATTTAATGAATATTTATTGAGTTTCTCTAATATGCCAGGTAATGGGGTTATTTATAGATGTGAATAAGACAGTCCCTGCTCTCAAAGAGCTAATACTCTAGTTGAGGAGACAAGAAAATCAGCTGCTTGATTTGAAGACCCAGAGGCCGAGTGCTTGAATGGTCCCAAACACTCATGGTAGCTTCTCTCTTAGTCCACTGGGGTGTCATAGCTTGGCTGTGGGAGCATCCCCTTCTCTCACTAGCTTGATCTCTTCAGCATCCCTTAGGTGGTTCCAGGTGCCCACAATGGTGCCCTTGTCCTGAGCATGTCTAGCCAGGAGGCACTGGAGCAGAACTGGAATAAATCTGAAGATTGACATATTGTGGTTGCTATGTTGGGACCTTTCACCAACAAGTTACCTCCCTGTTTACTAAGGTTTTACTATTTCTATGCGGTTAGAACAGAAAAGAGAGGATTCTGCTCTTGTTCAGTTCTCTTCCAACTCATCCAGTCTGTCTTCCTGGTCAGGCTTTGCCACGGGGTCTTGAACCTGCTCTTTTGTCAGTATCCCAGTTCATGAAACAGTTTAGTTCCCTCCCAAGCTTCCTCCTGTAGAGAAGGGGCTGCAGCCTTCTCTACAATGTGTTGACTAAATAAAGCATTCAACAGATACCTTAATTGAGGTAGGGAGAGAGAAAAAAAGAAGAGGATTAACAAAAATTGGGGGTTTCAGATGAATTTGAGCTAGCTAAGGTAAAGTCATGTGTAAATGTGCAATAGGAGGGGAAAATACAATACTGCAACTCAGGGAAAAGACAGAGGGTTGATGTGCACACTTGGGACTTGTTAGTATTTTGATACTCGTAGCCATGAGAAGGCATGTGATTTCCAAGAATAGTGCATTACAACAGAAATAAGGAAAGTCTAACCAGATGCCAAAGAAAACAGGGTTTAGGAAAATGCATGCCAGAGGAAAAATATTTGGGGATTTAAAATTTTAAATAGCCTTCTCTAACAGAGTAAGACTGAATTGTAATATGGTGTGCTTGAGAAGAAAAGGATGGTGGGGGAAGGTGGAATTCCTGGCCATTGTTTGGTGGCCTTTGGAGACATCTAGACTAATACTGACCAGAAGAATTTTCTGTGATAATATAAATGTTCTCTCTCTGTGCCTTTCAGTATGCTAGCCACTAGCCACATGTGGCTGTTGAGCACTTGAAATGTGACTAGTGTAAGTAAAGGACTGATGTTTAACTTTATTTAAATTTTATTAATTTAAATTTAAATACTTGCATGTGGTTAGTGGCTATGGTTGGACAGTGCTGCCCTAGAGGGATATTTTTGTGTTACTAAAGTGACACTTGACTGCCTCTCACTTATGTAGTTCTCATCAGCGGAGAGTGGCTAAACCATGTTCATACACGTCACACATATACACACTTTCTTGGAAAACTAAGAGTAAAAGGTAGATCTATAACACAATAATGCATGTAAAACCAAAACTAGCAAGTGCGATTTGATACGGAGGAGAAAAAGTGACTCTTATTTTCTAAAGGCAGGATTAATATCTAGAAAGCCCAAGAGAATTAACAATAGAAACACCCTAAGAATTAATAAGAGAATTGATAAATGTGGTCATATCCAAACTAAAGGTGGAAATTCATGAGATTTTCTAAGTAGTACCTACAACCAGTAGTGGCTGTAATTGATAATAGATCCTATAAAGATCTTATATAGTTATTATATGATCAAGCACCTGAAATCATTCAGGACATGTTGAATCAATCAGTAAATGGTATTAGAGGGTTGTTTGGCTGTTTGGGGAATCAAAAGACTTTATATTCTTGCCTCACATGGCCCAAAGGAAATTTTATGTATATTAAAGAGCTAAATGAAATAAATGAAATAGCCAAATTCAAGTGGAATATGGAAGTGACTATCTCTTTGAGATTTAGATGGGGAAAGAAATGATAAACTTAAAAGTAGTTGAAGAAATCACTAAGCTTTGATTCCATTAAAAAAAGCATCTTTCATTTGTGAAAACAAGGA